TCAAACCATAARGAAAAAGTCAATATTTTGCTTTTTGTCCTACTTTTTTATTGGCTGATAATTCCCAGATTCTTATTGCTGTTGTGGCATTTATTAGGAAAACTACATTTGTGTTTATGACCCTTATTGTTCTATAATTACATATAACTCTCCTTGATGAGTCATTTGAGCTCTTYGGATCAATGCCATACAATATTGTTAAAACAAAACATACCTTGAAACCAAGAATGGCAAAGATGACAATACCAGCAAAAATGGACGTTCCACAATTAATGCAAGACACTAGAATTGCATCTCTGTGACAGTTGTTGTGAACAGGGTTGTAGCTTGACATGGCAATCAGCCCACCAAAGGCAAGACTGAGAGAGAAAAAGATCTGTGTAGCWGCAGCAAGCCAAACYCCAGGCTTTAAAATCATGTCAAACTGCAATACAGAAAAACATAAATGGCTTTATCATATCATTATCTATAAAATACCTATATTACATTAGTTGAATCTCCATATATTGGAGGTAAATAAGAGTTATTCTAAAACATAATTTGCTTTCATTGATAATCATATAATAAACAGAATATTACATGGTCATTTGGAGATACGACTGTTATCTTCTCGTGTTGAAAATCTTTCACTCGTTTGCTAGGCTTGTTCGTGAGAGATCTTTTCAACACTCGAAGATAAAATCCATATCTMMAAGTGTCCATGTAATATCCTTTATTAGTGATGCATTTTCAAACATGCAGAGGAACAAATGAKTATATTTAGATGGTATACCTGCGGTTTAAACATGTATTTTATGCCATCAAAACAGCCTGGCAGAGTGATACCACGTCCAAAGAAAATGATAAGCACAATGTATGGAAAGGTAGCTGTGAAATAGACAGCCTGTGGACAAATATTTATTATGTTAGAAATACAACAATATCAACAGATTGAAAAGAKATTTTCAATTTAATGCACTACACTTATCAGGGTTCTCMSTAGAGAAAAATAAGTAGACGGCTGTTCTGGTAAAAGTAAACAGAGCTTCTGCAGTTGTATCAACAAGAAACTGCAGATAATTTCATAATTAAGTTAAGTGTGATTGTTGCTGGCTACTATTGGGAACCCTGGTTATTCTATGGTTTTGAGATGATTTCTGAATGTTACCTTTCCAGCTGACTGTACCCCCTTCATCATGCACAGCCAGACTACAACCCAGGCAAGCAGTARAGTCAAAGCCAGATGCCATGTGAGTCCACCACTCTCTTCCAACGAGGGYGTCACTTGCAGAGCATCGTGATACCAGTAGTACTGAGTTGTTCCAGCAAGTTCGCATGCCGGCTCCATTATCATAGATCCATTTCCATGCTTGATCATGGGGCATTTTGAATATGGCAAGGGATCTTGCCAAGAAGCAAAGAGATAGTAGAAACACCAGGCAATAATCATGTTGTAGTATATGGCTACTAGCAGACATACTACAACACAGGCRTAACCAACACCTCCAAGATAAGGATGGATATAGTTCCATACTCCAATGGACCCTTGTCGTACACTTTGACCGATTCCAAGTTCCAGAAAGAAGAGGGGGATTCCCAGTAAGGTAAGACTGATGAAGTAGGGAATCAAAAACGCACCTGCAATAGAATGGATATTTAATCAAACAATGCATCAATCAATCAATCCATCCATTTGTGTATCAATCAATCAATATATCAATCCATTGGAGTATCAATTAATCCAGCAATGTATCAATCAATCAATGTAAATGTATCAATAACTGATGAATTATTAATGAATGCATACAACCAACCATTGCAATCATTCAATGCATCAATCAATTATTATTTCACATTGTTCAACAAGAAATCAATAGACTATCAACATTAACCAACTGAGTTCTTCTCTGTCAATGACAGTAAGATAAACATTGGGCTATTGGTGGTAGGTCTTAATTTGATRCAGGGATTTCAGCCTTATTTATTGAAAGATCAGACAGCACTTCAGATGATTGGCACTTAAAAGTAGATTGAAAACCCTACTTGACTAAAATAGAGACGCCAAGAAAAGATAAATACACATATGTAACCTCCRAAGAAGGCATAGTTCCAGAGCATAACTTTAAAAACTTTCATTTTTGAAATCAACATTCAATAATAGGGGTATGGTAAAATCCGAGCCTGATCCTTTGCCTGAATGAGTCTGATCCGAGCCAAAAGCAATTTTAAATCCCAGCCCTTTCCTTTTAAGTGTCGAGCTTGCAAGTGTTGAAAAATTTTTGGCGAGCCTTGCGATTTCTGAGACACTATTCTATACCCCTTATACCCCTAACAATCTCTGATTGCAGTTTTCTCCAACAATCGTTTTTATAACAAATTAAGGTCATACAAGCCATAGCCCACTGCCTGGTTATATAAGGTTGACGATTAGTGTACGTGCTCACGGGAAATCATATGACTAACCCAAATCCAAAACAAAAAAACACTAAATGACCCTTGTGTAGTTTCTAAGGATATCACATGTAAAAACCATCAAAATCAAAGTTTGACCTCAGAATCAATACTATGGGACTACTGCTTGCAAATAGCTATGGACGATGTGTTAACTTCATCATCTAACCTTGAAACATTGCCTCATTCACTATGCACTATGTACTTATTGACTAAGTGGGAGGTCCGTAAATCAAAATATTTGTCTCAAGGTCATGCTGTATGGACAGCATGCAGAGCTTGATTTGTAAATATTTYATTCGGGGAGTGTTTTCAAGTGGCTCTGTACTGGCTTGTACAGCCCACTTGAGCAACCTGCTATGGCCTACTGCCCCTATCACATGACATCTGGGGAAATATAGGGCTCCCATCACGTGACTTCTGGGGAAATATAGGGCTCCCACAGTGTAACTTCTGGGGAAATACCAGTCATTTGATAATTCAGAGGTTAACACAGTTTTCTTAATCAAAAATGATAATTAAAACAATTAAAAAAAAATGTGTCATTCTTTGTAAATAAGTTAATACTATTTGATTAAGTGCACTATTGCAATATCAAGTTAATTACTTGAAATAACTTTTTAAAAAAAGAAACAAAAATGCAAGATTGTTTTTAAAACTTTAGTGGGATTACAGCCTATAAATTCTATGTGATTTTGTTTTGTATTTATAGCCGCTCTTTTGTAATTAATAGATTTGTAAGAAAGAATCCACTAGGATTACATTGTTTGCCTTTGCGAGGGATGAACGTGTGTTCCTTGTTAGAGATTACACCGTTTTCCTTGTTTTTCTCATTGGAACCTAATTTTCAACATAGCTACACGTTCTTCTACATACAAAGTCTACAAAGAGTGAACCCTAATTTGATGTCTAGACAGAGCATAGCGTTTAGGAGAAAACATGACAGCCTTTCTACTCGATAAAACCTCGTTTGTTTAAGACATTGGGAGTTAACAAAGAGCTAMGGTTTAACTAACGAGCTAAGACGGTAGGACCTTTGTCTTATGGAGTTTTATACTGCTTGCGGGAAAGAAAAGCCTATCTCTATTGCATTTTCAGCCACCATATGCTACAGCAAATGATTGAACAAGTGGTACCTTATCGCGGTAGAAACGAGAAGAAACATGTCAGCTGCTATTTTGTGTGGATTTCATTTCACCGCAAAACAAACATTATTGCTGTAAAATGAATTGAGCGGTCGAATAATGAGCTACGACTTAGACTGGTTCTATCCTATTTTAAGAAGAAGTTTATAATAGCTAACTTATTGAGGATGAAACTCTAGACATACATCACGTGAATGGCGCGTAGACGTCGCGGATTTTTAATACTTCAAATCTGCGAACAAGGAACTTTACTGAGATGCCTTAAAAGGAATCAAACAATCACAAAATATGACACGTTTGTCAGATAACAAAGTAAAATTACGGAAATTTGGGACAAAATGCCCGTCCACTGATAGCAGAAAAGTTAAGTCGGACTTTGAACAGCGTGAACGTGTTTTCTCAAAAGGTAAACATTGCGCGAAAGAGTCATTCAAAATGTGCGCAAGACAAGAGTTTAGATAAAACTCATTAAAAATACACACAAAAAGACACATTCAACACGTTCGACCCCTTGTAAAGAAAGATTGATGTGAATAAACTGTATTTACCATACCTCCTCCGTTTTTTTGACATAAATATGGAAAACGCCAGACATTCCCAAGTCCGACAGCAAATCCCACGGTAGCAAGAATAAATTCTAACTTGTTGCCCCATTTAGGCCTAGCATCATCTTCTGTTTTCGTAGCCACACCAGCCGGATTTTCGTCTTTCTTGATGTTAACAACAGCTTGTTGTTCCGTCACGATGTTTTCTTCCGAGTCTCTAACATTGGGGTTCGGCGGCAAAGTCACTACGACTCCATCACTGACTCCATTGGTTGTAACTTCCTTTGTACTGGATGGGACATCTTCCTTCGCTACGACTTTTACTAGTGAAGCAGGAGCTCCTTTTTCCATTGTGGAATGAGTATTATTAAGTTGATGAACAAGTGTTCAGGGAATTCTTGTCGTGTGGCCTCAGAAATACTAGGTTCTACCAGTGATCAACAAAGCCACGTGTCAGTTTGGTTCAAGAAGTTGCCGGTTTTTTTAACAAATGTATCGGTTATTTCAGTAAAGACTGTTGTTAACTTGTATTCACTATTGTTCTTAGATTAGATTCAATAGGGGTAAATGATCAAGTACAAAAGAACAGTTCTTTCACCAACGCGCCCCGATAAACGTCCTTTCAAAACTGGCTCACTACGGCGTGGAATCAAAATAAAACATACCAAAGCTGTCAATCAATCACCAATTGACCAATCGCGTCTTAGCCGACAGGGAATTATTGTGTTTGCTYTCWCTCTTTTCATGTATTTCCAGATATCCAGATGATCAAACAAGATGACGAAGCAGAAATGCTATAATCTGGGTTTATTTTTGTAGTCATGTATCTCTCTAAAACGCGCTGATTTCGCGGWRTTGCGTGCTTGTGAATTTGCGCGGGAAATGAAGCAAGTCAAGTGTACTTGTGTTCTCACGTCAATGGCAGTGTTTGTATACACACTTTTCACWATCATCCCTTTGTAAACATGCTCTAACTGTAGCAACTGAAAAATGCGTTTTATTAGATTGACCAACTGATCTAAAATACTTGGTAATGTCCACATGTTTAACAATAAATCAAACAGGGATTGGATCATAGTTAATAGAGAGGATTTTGATTGGATTTTTCAGCAGGCGAATTTCACAAGCTCATGGTTTGATATGATATTTGATAGGACTAATGAGGCACTCCTGGATGACCAAAGTATTCCACGTATTTCCGATACCAAACTTCAACTTGTGCTGTGGGCCATAGGTCTCTCATGTGACTAGGGAACATAACGGGAGGCCTTGCATTGGCACGGGCTTGGGATTGCTTGCAGAAAGTCAAACTAAGGTACTGTRCTGGTAGATTTATTCATGTCTCTACCTCTTCACTTCATGATATCATCCACATCATGATCTAGAAACTAATAAGTATTTCCTTATCGGCTTTAAGTAGTATGTAGCAGTTTGAAATCTGTTTCAGATTCCATCCATGAATGAGACATAAGCATTCTTGCATACTGTCSTTGCAATCTCGATATCAGTGGAATTTGAGAGAGATACAACTTGTTTTTGACGTTATTAGATTCAAACGAAAGACATAAGGAAACTCATTCATAGAATCATTTGGATCCTCAAATAACCATAGACTAGTCTATGGAGCGCTGCAGGTATAAGCCATCAGCAGGTCAACTCGGATACCTTTAACCTCAAGTCGCAAATTGTTTGTTTTCTGTACACCCAATAGGGYTAAGAAGATTAAAATATAGCGATGTCCTAAAGAATTATAAGATTGTATGGGATGCCCACTTCATGTAGCTTGCCTTATCCTAGCATTATTAGGATCTATATAGTTTAGCTCGTAGCGTTCTGCTGTGACAGTGCAACGGTGCACGACCATCGCGACCATGGCCGCGGTCACTTAACAACGCAGTACAACTTACATGCCATTAATCGAGGCTCTCAGATTGAGAAAAGATTATAGGCAGGTAACAACTAGAAACTAAAAAAACTGYGAAAATCAGACAAATGCGAAGAAAGTTTTAATAGTTAAAATTTCATTCCCGTTCTTCCATTTATTCATTCAGTTACTTAGCGATTCATCCATCTTCTATTTTTCTATTCTCCTTGGGAATTCGTCCATGGAGGTAGATCCGAACTTTGGTCACATGCCAATAACATTGAAGCCAAAAGGAAAAAATTCGACCCACAAACTTGAACCGATTCGATCGAATTTCTTAAACAAGCTGAATCGTCCGGGATTAAAAAATCACAAGCTCAACTGATCCGGAAATTGATCACATTAAAACTAAATGGGGATTTCATTGAGGAAACGGCCAAGGGCAGACTCTTCTATAACGCACGCACGAGTCAATTCCTTACGGAATACGCGAGCGATATGACGCAGTTTAAACGAACAACTCGAGGTCAGACTCTTTTATAACGCACGCACGAGGCAATTCCTTACGGAATACGTGAGCGGTATGACGCWGTTTAGACGAACAACTCGACGTAATCTTTGTTCAGCTTTGTGAACTTTGTGTGCATGGGATTTTTCAAAGCAAGAAGAAAATGTTCAAAGTACAGCATAGAAGTTTGAGTTATCGAGAATATTGAAGTTGTTCAGAGTGAATCAGAGTAATAAGAAACGTGAAAAAAGCCCCCCTMGCACCGTGCATCGTTCTAATCCTTATATTCCCCTCCACGTAGCTCGCACGTGTTCGGCAGGTGAAGTCAGTGACAATGTGCAAATTGAGTCATAAAGTCGAGCAATCACTCGTTTGAAACGCGAATAGTTTTTACACTCTAAAAACACGAGCTCTCGCCTCATGACACGGTATCCGGAATCCAACAAAATTTTAGCTCTGTAATCTGGAACACAGATACTTGGAATCCGGAATCCTCGGCAATAGAGAGGAATCCGATCCGGAATCCAAATGTTTACACTTGTAAACGAGTCACTGATCACCGTACGATGCTTGTTGCATTCAGTATCAAATATGGCAGAGTCTTGAATCCTTGCGATATTTTCCATGCAATCCGGAAACCATGGACGYTCCGGATTCCTTGCCATTGGGCAAGTATTCTGAAACAAGCTCAATTCTAATGCACTTGAAAAGTTTATCGGTACGTAACTGCGAAAACTGACACGTAACTGATACGTAAGGTCTCGAAGTAGTTCAATAGAGTGAACCTTTTTGGGCGGATGTTTAAATAAATCCTTAAGACGCCCCTAAGTGAACTTTTAGAATTAGTCATTATGAAGCTAATGAGATTGTTTGGGCTACCTGTCTAAATTCGTTCGTGAAAGACTGAGTCGTATTGGAGTATGCTGTGCTAGGCCTCGTTCCAAACTTCCGAAAAATGCACGCCATTTCTCCAGCAAAGCATGACGGTTAAGATCAGCCCAGGAGATGTGTTTTAGCCGACACAACAAGGGGGACAATTATTTTTCCCATCATACTTTGTACTAAAAAATGACGTCGCTGTTCTCTATTGAAATCCTATCGTGTCAAGACAGGCAATCAAAAAGAAGCATTTAGAGTGCAAATATCTTGATCTAATCAAACCTTCAGAATAAAACATTATCCGAGTTCGCCACAGACCGTCTTGACGTCATCAAATCTTTAAATACTGTCTGAGATAGTACGTGGTAATCTTAAAAGTGTTTTGACTGAATACCGACCTTTTTTTATTGGCTTTCCACCATTGACGTAATAAGAATTAACGGCAGTAGGTAAACATACCCAAACTGGTAACGATTGGAGCACGACATGATCTACACCTATCATCAAACTGATTTTGTTCAAACTCTACAGTCATATTCTTTTACGACCCATCCTCGGAAACCTTGGAGCTGTTGAAGAGGATGTTGATTGTTACCATTCAAAAGGCCATCTTCCGGGTTTCCGAGGATGGCGGTAATCAAGTAACCTCTTTGTAGAAATACTAGTATTCTGACAGTTGTAGCCTGATTCTCATTGGGTCTATAGCTGATGACTTTCAGTAACTGTCAATGYCTAGTCATAATAATATCATTGAATCGATAACGTTTTATCAAACTATTATTWTTAAGGTTATACCTATCTATCTATTATCAATATTTTAGAATAGGAAAACGGAATTCTGATAAAAAAAGAACAAAAATGAAATATTGCTTGTCTATTTTGATGATTTCATTTATTTCATTAATTGACTCGCTCGTTTCTTAGATTACGTTTTGGCAAAAAAMTGGCCGGAARAAAGTTATTAAAGTTTACTAATTAAGATAAAAGTAGACACAAACAATCGACTCAAATTAACTCGACCAGACCTCCGCTACTTCCTAATAAGTGTACGATTGTTTAGGTGTTTTGTTTTGAACGTGGTTGCAAGCTGCGAATCTTGGCATTGGCTGATAAAAGATCTACCTAATGTTTAATGAAATTTTAATTGGCTGCGTTGCTTCATGTTTTAGTTACACCAATATATGCCAAAAAAAACCGCTTTGTTTGTTTACCAGCACACGGAATTACTGCAGACTTCTCGGTGTCTCAAGTCCAAAAAGGACTTAACTTTATGATCTGTATTACAATTTTCAAGTTGAAACATTAATTCAACATTTAAAGAGTTTTGTACATGATACCCTTATGAATATGAACAAACATGACTGGCGATCTGACAATTAACTTATCATTAGTTGCATTGTATCGCGGTAGTATATATCATGTCTCAATCACTTCCTTTTTCTCCATGTTTTCTCCCTTCAGGAGCGGAAGATATCAGAGGTTGCTGAAATACGCAAGTGCGAATTTTCCTCTTTAGCATGCACATGTCAAATTGAACGATTGTTCGAGATCTTCGTAGGAGTTGAATTCTTGAACACGTGATTCCCGTTTTTATACTCATTTTGCTCGTTTAAACTCGTTCGAGTCTACATGTTTCTTATTCCGTTTTAGCTATGTTTGCAGTTCAATATCGATGTTTTGTGTCTTTTTTTAGTAAAGAGATTTAAAGGAAAACTCGTGAAAAAGCAATCGAAATTCAAGATCTTCCTGTCAGCTCTGAAAAAAGTTGAAAAGGGGAACGACTATCGTCAGATCGCGCTGTTTATAATTTATTAATTCTGTTACGTTCTGTGTATCAATCAGGAATGATCCCCCTTTTACAAACAGACGTGATCTGCTTTGAGCCCGGAATACTATGAACGTGTGTAAAACCTGCCACTGAATTAATCATCAACGATAATGGAGTATACAAAAAAAGCCGGGGAAATTCCTCACCAAATGATGGTTTTATCTAAAGTCAATTTCGACCCTGCAAGTGATAACAGATCCCACTTTGATTAGACAAAGGATAATACGTTAATCCAATCGAAATAGAGTTTCGAAAGAACTAATAATAATACGAAACAAAAAAATTAAGCACGATAAGTGAAACACTGTCCCGATCACGTGGAGTGTAGCTTTGCCTTGAAGTCGAAAACATCACCACTCGTGCTACCGATTCATTTCGATAGCTTCGTGAAAACAATTTTACATCGTAGCGCTTTGTTTCCCGCCTTCTTTGGCTGCTAAACGTGGGTGTAGTCGCAAATACATCGTGACGTGAAACTAGTTTTACTAGTTTGAGCCTTTGTCATGACGAAAAAACCAATGGACGGTGGTGAATTATTTACATTGCGAGCCATGTCTGGCTGAGAAAAGTGTCTCGCGCTGTGCAGGGTGCCACGAAAGCATCAATAAATCGAACAGAAAGACCAACGATTGTTGGATGAAATGCGATGGTATTTTCATAACACAATGATATAAGTTGTTGAAGTGCGTAAAAGATATATCAATATATTATACCGGATAATAAGACCAAGAATGAAACAAAAGCTAAAAGTGAAAAAAATTTGACAATTCAATAATAAGTACGTAATAAGACGAAAAAAAGTCGCTAACACAACGTTTGTATCGCCATAGTCTTGTTT